GATGCACCTGATCTTTCAYACAAAAGATAGGTTTGAAGTTGGTTTCAATGGGAAAACATTTGCTCAATAATTCCATGACAGCTCATTATAGATTTCAACAATAGATGATGATTGAACTAGAACTCTAAGAGTGATTCTGTGATGTAGAAAGGGTAAATTAAAGTAGTTTGTGTGCAGCATAATCCCATAATTTGAATTCTTAGTTCAATGGATCTGCATATTACAACAGATAATTCAGTTGAAAGAAAGTTTTGAACAAAAGTATTAGTAATTCATGTTTTAGTAGAAATTTTAAACAATTTTTTTTCCTATTCCATTGCTATGGAAATATTAATTATGATGAAAGACTGTTTGTTTTTTTAAATTCAAGTGAAAGTTTGCAACACTTTTTTCTGTCATCCATTGAAATAGACAGATTTTGTAATAAAAAAAAACATTGTGCAAAATAAATAATTATAGATGCAAAATAAAGAAAATTATATTCAATAAATTTATTGTTATTTTTAAAACACACAATTATGCATAATCATACCCCAAAGGCCATGGTACTTTCAAATTTACCCTTTTAGCAGATTTTATTCAATACTCCTTAACATCTTCATTATATTTGGCTGCTACTTGTAGAAACACAATTATCCAGGACTTCAGTGACAGATACCACTAAATATAAATATGATTTTATAACAAAACTACGTTGGTTTTTAGTATTATTAGTACAACAATGAGTCTTTAGTATTGATGTTTAGCAACAAATAAACTTTGCTGCCCAGCAGCACTTTCTCCGCAACCCTTGTACTGTCCTTGTGCTGCCAACCCGTTTGCAACTGCACGCTTGAGGAACTCTTCCTGACCTGCTTTGATGTTTCCAGCTTTACCACTCCATGCTTTCAATGCACTTGCTTGCAAAGCTCGACCAAATGAGAATGTTAGTGCCCATGGTTTTTTACCTGGAATAAAAAAAGACAGTGTAGCCAATCAACTGGAGGTTTTCGGTCTAAGACTTTCATATATCAAAGAGCAGTCAAGATCAAGTCATGATCAATCTATGTTTTAGGCTTTAAGTCTCAACTTAGAGAAAAAATTTTCCATGCTTTTCTTTGCTTTGTGTCAACTCCATATCATTCCCTCAGTTCAAAGGAAACCTTTTGCATAATTACTATTAAAGGTGATAATTATTTGTGCTTAAAAGACCACTTAAATGTGATAAAAACAAATTGCAGAAAATCTCAACATTATAAAATATATGTTCAAAACTTGCTATGTTCGTGAGTCCCTATGAAATCCAAGCATCTATTTTTAAGTAGTTTAATTTGATTTTTGCAAATGTGGTCATTGTGGGTGTCACGTCTGTGATCAAGGACTTTGCACAATCATACGGAATCTGCTGTAATGAAATAATGAAGTGCCACTCCATCTTACCAGCATACTGATTGATTGCATTAAGGTGAACTGATGCTTGCTCCTCAGATTGTCCACCTGACAGGAACACTATGCCAGGTACMGAAACAGGAACAGTCCTCTGCAGTGTTTGAACTGTTGCTTGAGCACATTGTTCAGGGGWGTACTTGGTTGGRCAACTTTGTCCTATTATAAAGAAATTCAGATTTAGTAATTGTTTAACACAATAATAATCAAAACAATGGAGGGCATRAAACTAYGAYAARCCTCCAGGCCCATGACCTCCTATTGTACAAAGGTTTGCCATTTTGTGCTGTTCATTGTTTCATTTACTGTCTATTGAATTTTATTTCAATACAACGCTTGGTTAAGACATTTTACGTGAAACTCGGCATGATTTACATCCAAATTTATTCCAGCAGAGAAAGCAGCTGTCAAATGGAAGGATTATAAAAAGTACATCTACTTTAYACATTGACAGCGAAAAAGAACATCATCTGTTTTACCGTACCTGCAGTAACCATGTTTGGTTTCAAAAGCGTTCCCTCTAAATACACGTGATGATCAATCARTGCCTTGTACTGGTGAGAAAGAACGGCTTCGGTGACGGTTTGAGCTCTTTCCAAAGTATGCTCACCGTCACAGAGCACTTCGGGTTCTACGATAGGAACAAGACCATTTTGTTGGCAGATAGTAGCATATCGTGCAAGGACATTAGCATTTTCCTTCATGGCTAATTCTGATGGTGTCTTGTCACTTATTCTAAGGACACAACGCCATTTAGCAAAGTCACAGCCATCTTTCTTGTACTGCGCACAACGTCCAGCGAGACCATCCAGGCCTTGAGTGGTGCCTTCTTCCAATGTTCCTGCTAGTGGAACAACTCCTTTGTCAACCTTGATTCCCGGAATGATGCCATTATCGCGAAGGATTTTCACAAATGGAGTCCCATCGTCTGCTTTCTGGTACAAGGTTTCTTCGAAGAGAATTACACCGCTAATGGCATCTTTCATGTTTCCTCCGCTMGTGAACAAAAGTTGACGGTACTGACGACGATTTTCTTCGGTGTTCTCAACGCCGATTCCACTTAGACGTTTTCCCATTGTACCTGTGCTTTCATCTGCTGCAAGAATCCCTTTACCAGGAGCCACAATAGCTTCGGCAATTCTTTTCAGCTCTGCCTTGAGCTCAGGAGTCAAAGGGGCATCCATATTGCACAGATACGTATCAAACTTCGTCCTTCACACACTAAAACCTTCAAACGAACTCCTGGAGAGAAAGAATATTTCCTCGTCGTGACGTTGATAGCCCATGTCTCCTGCTTGTTGATTGGTTTAAACTGATGTTTTTGTCAATATTGACCAATGAAAAGCTGCCGTGCAGTCGTGCCACATTTCATGCACCTTGATCCGTGATATATCAGCCTGCACTTTGGTTGAATTTCAGTTTCTTTTGAAATAAAAAAGTATGTTGGCTGACAAAATAATTGAATTTCATGTTATAGTCGACCTGGCAATTCATCAGGTGATTACAATTACGACGAAATTATTAGCTTATCATAGACAACGAAATTTAAATTAAGTTAAATCTGATTTTGCAGCTGATAGGTTATCGTTTTTATAAATACATGAATAAAACGCATATTTTGTTTAAAGTTGCTGTTTAAAGTTTTGTTTATAGCTTTTTTTAAAAGATACCAGAAATATTATTCTGTAATAGCCGGTATCAATAGAGATAACCTTTGATCTTTGTGACTTTTGACGTGTATACACACCTCTGGACACACCTCCACGAGCTTTCTAAAGCCCCGACTACACGAGCAATTTTGATGTGGCAATTTTTACAGGAAGCACAGGCTCTTTATCTTTATCACCCTTCCCCTAGCCTGATTTTCAGACGGGGCCTGGGTCCTACGCTTCTCTCCGCCCGGGCGGAGTCTTGAGGTCTCCCAACCAAATAAAGAAGAAGTTAATAATTTTATGGTACATCTTTATATATAAAGATACTGTGTTTGATGCGATATAAAAATCATGCATGTATTCGAATTGGAAAGATAGTAGCCTGCCAAACCTCGACCCATCACTGCGATAACTAATTTTAAAGTTAAAAAAAGAAAGAAAGAAAAAATGAATTCTTTAGAACTGCTCGATCGAGTCGGAAAAAATCAACATGAAAAGAATAAGTATATTTCAGTAAAAAAAGAAAGAAGGAAAGAAAAAGGAGCTGTTTAGAGGTGATCCAGTCGAGAATCGAACCAGCGATCCTAAAGTTCGACGCTATTCGAATATGACATTCTGTGTACAATCAAATAACGGCTCGAAAACAATTATCAAAAGAAAACAATCAACATGACTATAAAATACAAGACTAAAAACTATATTTCAGTTAAAAAGAAAGAAAGAAAAAACAAACTTGCTAGAGTCGAGATTCGAACCCGCGATGCTCAGTTCGACGCCGCTGTATCATCTCGTTTCTAAATTAAACTAGACGCTCTTTGAGCGTGAAGTCGGGCTAGCTATTTTGGAAAATTTTCGAATACGTGAAGAGCGAAAGAGTTCAACACGATAAGATAAAATTCGTATCTAAAAAACCTGTAATATTCTGACAGTCATATAATTATATA